GATAGTGGAAGAATCAACGTGGGAGTCTGGGCAGCAGAAGCTGACTTGGCAGTGAGAAGCAGGGCAGAGGCGGGGGGGGGGGGGGAGGGAGAGGGAGTGGGGAGCTTGCAGCATGGATGTGCAGCATGGGTGGGCTCTTGGTTCACCCCGGGTGCCCAGCCCATGAAAGGGCACGTCCATACTGTAGAGTACCGATTTGTGGGGCAGGACCATCTCCTCAGATGGTGCTCGGTGCACATTGTAGCTCCTCCTTCCTCCTCTGCCGCCCTCCTCGGAGGAGCCAGCTCAGAGGCAGCACAGTGTGACAAGTTCTGCTCATCAGCCACGGTCTCCTCCCGGACACGCAGGCCATTTCACACACAGATATGTGAGACGCAGCGAGGGTGTTTTCTGCTTTTTTTTTTTGGTCGGTTGTGGGGCTTGAACTCTGGGCCTGGGCGCTGTCCCTCAGCTCTTCAGCTCAAGGCGAGCGCTCTACCACTTAAGCTACAGCGCCACTTCCGGTTTTCTGGTGGTTTATTGGAGACAGGAGTCTCACGGTCTCTCCTGCCCGGGCTGACTTTGAACTGTGATCCTCAGATCTCAGCCTCCTGAGTAGCTAGGATTACAGGCATGAGCCACCAGCGCCCGGCTTTCTGCTTGTTTTCTATGTAGACGTTTATTTCACATTGTTTTCAAATTCCAGGGGTGCCATCTTGTTGGGGATTTAAAATCCTAGGCATGTGCCCAGTCTCTGTCGCCAGCATAGACTCTGGTGTGAGACAGAATTGTGTTCAGATCCCAGCCGCACTCTCTCAGTCATCGTGTGGGGGGAGGCGGCGTGCAGTAGAGCAGGCATCATCAACATGCCGGTGTTCAAGGGCAGAGCTCAAGCATTACTTTATGCGTCACTTGGTGAGACTCTTCTGACACGAGGGACAGAGTTATCCACCACACAACCATCTAGAGGCTCTATACCTAGACGCCAAGGTTGAAGATACACACGAGGATGAACCTCTTCTCACCCTCTTCACAGACCCCTAGCTTGTACTGCGATGGGCCGCCAAGACAGGCTAGACACTGCGGCCCTGCTGTTTGCATTTGGTGAGGGAAGGCACACGGATGCTCCGTGTCCAGGACAGGAACTGTTTTATCCCAGACACTAACCATGCACCTCTGTCGTGTAAGTACTAAGCACCTCTCAGCCAGGGTTTGCTGTGCACCACCTGGTTCTTTCCCTTTGGGTGTTGGGCTGAATGTCTGCCACAACGTAGCCTAATGATGCCGTTTTCAAACTGGGAGTCAGGTGCAGGACGTCTGCAGCATCTTTACCATTCTCTCTCTGTCATGCAGAACTTGGTAGAGCTGGTGGGAAGAAAGAAGGTGGAAAGCACAGGTGTGGGAAGCGGGGAGAGGGGGTGAGGAGAAGAGAGGGGCGAGGGGGCCTGCTCCTCTGCGCCCGGCCTCTCTCGTCCCTCTCATTTCCCTAGCCCTGCAGTATTTACTTGTTCCCAGGGTCTTAAGCGGACCACTACAAGGAGTCACGCTGAAAGACAGCCAATCAGAAATACCTGGGCTTTGGAGTAGGGAACAGTGTCTGAGGAAAAGTGAGATGAAGAACACCTTTGCGCCTTGTCCTCTCACATTAAGCTGTGGAAATGGAAACTCAAAAATGTGTATTTTAAGTTATAAATGGGGCCCCAAGTTGCTTTAGACATGGATAACAAATGAAAAGCTTCCATTTTCCCCCTTTATTAATTTGATATGTATTTCCAAAACGTTTTGATTGGGCTGGAGATGTAGCCCACGTGTGCTTGCCTAGCAATAATACCACTCGCCCTGAAAAATCCAGAAGAAGGTATAATCAATGAGTTGGGCAAGAATTAAAAGTATTCCTTGCCTAAATATGTCTTTCAGAAAGGATTCGGGGTTATGAAACACATGAAGTCTATGATCAAAAATCACAGCTTTTGCTATCTATTGTCCCTCGGTCATATGCTCCAAAAGTGTGGTGAGGACAGAGCAGGCCGGAGGAGTGTCCACAGCAGCTCGGAAGCCCTTCTAAGCCCTGGAATCTCTTCCCTGCAATTCTCTCCTCATTCCCGTGACCAGGGGCCAGTTTCCCAAGCTTGATGGCAAGGTGATTCCATTATGTCTCTAACTGCAGAAGATCCTTACAGCACCAATTCTAACAACAGGTAGTTATTGGAACCAAGAGCCGAGTTTTGAAATGTTTTCCCTTGACTTCTGCTTCCTCACTTGCAGGCAAGGGACTCTTGCCAGCCTTGCTGCAGGACCTACTGAGGGAAAGCCTCGCGTGTGACATGTTCATGACCACAGGCAGTGCCAATGGCAAAATGTCAAGATGATGGTAATTTAGCCATAAACGAATTACTAATACCAGGAGATAAAATGTACGGTAAGGATACAAAAGCCTTACTCAAACAAGAATAATCATGTCCATTATTTGGATAGGTATGTATCAAGTGCTGGATAAAGCTAGGTGCTATTATTTAATCTTCATAATTCTATATGGCAGAAATTACAACCACTTTTACGTACAAGAAACCAGAGTTCAGAGAGGTAAACGTGTCCTCAGTGACGTGGCTTCTAACTACTACTGCCTGGCTGATGTCCAATACTACCCTTCAGCCACACTGAAGCAACTTTTACCCATGTTCCAGTTTTCCCTGAAAAGTACTTCAAAAGCTTATAATGTAGTTGGGTATCATGGCTTAAATCTAGAATCCCAGCTACTAGGGAAGTAGAGATTAAGAGGAATTACCATTCCAGACAAGTCAAGGCATAAACCTTTGAGACTCCATTTCTTTTTTGTTTTGTTTTTGGATCTGGTCGTGGGGCCTGAACTCTGGGCCTGGGTGCTGTCCCTCAGCTATTCAGCTCAAGGCTAGCGCTCTACCACTTGAGCTACAGCACCACTTCCGGCTTTTTTCTTTTTGCTTATGTGGAGCTGAGGAATTGAACACAGGGCCTCATGCATGCAAGGCAAGCACTCTACCACTGAGCCACCTACCCAGCCCGAGACTCCATTTCAATGCATGCCTGGGCATGGTAGCATGCACCTGTCATTCCCAGCAACACAGGCAAGTGCAAATAGGAGGCTCATAGCCCAGGCCAGCCTGACCACAAAAATGAGACTCTCCTCTCCCCCAAAATATCCAAGGCAGGGCTGAGAAGGTGGCTTAGTGGTAGAGTACTTGCCTTGCATGCCTGAGGCCCTGGGTTTGATTCCTCAGCACCATATAAGAAAAAAGAAAAAAGCTGGAAGTGGCTCTGTGGCTCAAGTGGTAGAGCACTAGCCTTGAGCTGAAGAGCTGAGGGACAGCGCCCAGGCCCAGAATTTAGGCCCCACGACTGGACCCAAAAAAAAAAAAAAAAAAAAATCCAAGGCAAAAAGGGGCTGGAGATGTGGTTCAAGCGGTAGAGCACCTACCTTGCAAGTACAAGATACTGGGTTCAATCCCTAGTACCACCAAAAAAAGGAAAAAAAGGCATGTATGCCTGTTGTAATGGTGGATATTTTGAACGACACGACAGGGACATTACTACTGTAATCTACTAGAGAATTACCCTTTTTGCCTTCTTTTGAAGTTAAGCAACTATGTGACCAGTGAATGGGAACAAAAGAAATGCCACCTCTGGGCTACAATGGCAGGAGGTCAGAAGTTGCTCTCCTCCCTTCCCACTGCAATCCTGAGCCCATGTTACCCCGGAGGTGGCTGGGCAGAGCACACTGAGGTGCTGAGCCAGCACTTGGAGGAGACCTGCTGAAACCCACAGTGGATTTGACTCAAGGAAGGAGGAAACCCTTGATTTTAGGAGACAGATTTGGAGATTTTTTGGTTTACTGCAGCGTTAATCATCTATCCTGGCAGTCACGTGATAAAGAGAATTAGAAAACAGACACAAAGCATGCTCTGATGCCCTTCACTAATAGTTTAATTTGGCTAAGACACGGTTGAGTAAGAGTGCACCCCCTAACCATCTAAAAGCCTCTCACCAGCACCGGCATCAACGGACTCACCTCCCTTCCCACTTTGAGGAATGCAGCACATCAGCTGGCCCCTTATGACACTGCTTCCTGGAGAGTCAGACCAAAGCTAGATATTTTTAATGAATACTCTGGGAGGTATGAAGAGCATGAAAAGGGCCATTATTTATGGCATAGAGAACAGAATGTTGATATTCACAAGGATCCAAAGTAAAATGTTAGAAAACCCACTATTTAAAAATCCAGCAGCATTAGGAAGGCAACGAATTCTTAAATGTCAGCTTCCCATCTTGTAAGTGATCAATGCGATTGTTTAAGAATAGGCAAAGCATCTTCTTTACTTTCTCCTGAATTCTTACTGCATTGCACCCATAAAGTCTAGAATTTCTAGTGAAGCTCATTGATTTAGGAATAAAAAGCAAACATGTAATCTTCTTGGAAATACAATTCCAGAAGCATTTGTTCAAATGGCCAGCTCTTAAGACAGTGATGAACAGCAGGGCAAGAGTCTTTTCCTCACATGATTGAAGCTGAGCATTGGGGATGGTCCCAGAGCTTCTCTGGCCAGGGTCCCACTAATACTGCTAAGACCCAGCCCAAGGATGATTTATAACGTGCATTTTGATTTAACCTTAGCAATAGGCCAGGTTTTCAGCCCTAGAATGCTTTCCATCAATTTTGGTGATTGCGAAGCTCAAGGATGGTTCCTTTCCCTGCCAAATCAATTAACAATATCTAAACCACTCCTGTCAGGGCCTTTTCTGGAAGCTAGCTACTTTACAGCATTCAGTATTTTCTGAGAGCTGCAATCTGATCACTATTATTTTCATGTTAACCTATTTTCATGTTATCCTGCTCCACAGGCAACACACACACAAGCAGCAGCAGGCAGCCCCCATGTCATGATTTTTTTTTTAGTGGTCCAACTCATGGAGGAATAAGAGCAGCCTAAAGACAGATCCGTGCTTCTGTGTGTACATACTTTTATTTCTGTATTTTCGAAGTTACAACTTTTAAAATCGCGGGTAAGTCAGCGAGAACGAGAACGAGAACAAACGGGCACACACTCACGTGCTAGTGAAGAGAATCAGAACTTTGAGAAACCAACCAACACCAACATCTTACTTGCTTTTGGACTACGTGGCAACTACATACATTGTGAAGGCAAACACTGGCGCGTCCAGCACCAGCAAAACCGCTTCTTTGCCGCCGTCACCGAGGAACTGTGGAAAGTCCTATCCGGTATCTAGATGCTATCTAAAAGAATCCAAGGGCCATCAACAGGGCGGCTCTCCACCGGTGTGCGGGGCTGCGGGCCGGCTCGGGCTCGCCTGCCCGCCTCGACGCGGGGCTGGGCGCCCTCAGATCTTGAGCTCCTTCTGAATGCCCCACAGCGTCTCGGCGCTCTTCTTCAGGCGGGCCTCCTCGTCGCGCGAGAGCTTGACGCGGACCAGGTCGGCGATGCCGTTCTCGCCCAGCACGCACGGCACGCTCAGGAACACCTCCTCCTGGATCCCGTAGAGGCCCTTGGCCACGGTGGACACGGGGTGCGTCCTCCGCAGGTTGCGCAGGATGCTCTCCGTGAGGTCGGCCACCGAGAAGCCGATGGCCCAGTTGGTGTAGCCCTTCATCTTGATGATCTGGTAGGCGCTGGCGATCACGTCCTTGTGGATCTTCTCCCAGTGCTCGGGGTCCTGGTCGCCGCCGAGGCCCGGGTTCAGCTCCCGCAGCGGGACGCCCGCCACGTTGACGCCGCTCCACACGGGCACGCTCGAGTCGCCGTGCTCGCCCAGGACCCAGCCGTGGCAGCTCTCCGAGTGGATGCCCAGCTTCTGCCCGATGAAGAAGCGGAAGCGCGCCGTGTCCAGGTTGCAGCCGCTGCCGATGACGTGGGCCGGGGGCAGGGCGCTCAACTTCCAGGCCACGTAGGTCAGCACGTCCACCGGGTTGGTGACCACGATCATCTTGCAGCGCGGGCTGTGCTGCACCACGCCGGGGATCACCGACTTGAAGATGGCCACGTTCCGCTGCACCAGGTTGAGGCGCGACTCGCCCTTGGCCTGGCGCGCGCCGGCCGTGACGATCACCAGGCTGGAGTTGGCGGTGATGCCCAGGTCCGTGCTGCACACCACGGAGGGCATCTTCAGGAACGTGCTGCCGTGCTGCAGGTCCATCGTCTCGCCGCGCAGGAGGTCCTCCTTCACGTCCACCAGCGCCAGCTCGTCGCTCAGCCCCTTCAGCAGCAGGCTGACGGCGCACGCCATGCCCACCGACCCCGTGCCGATCACCGACACCTTGTTGTGCGCCGCCGGCTTCTCCGAGGCCACCGGCTTCAGGAGCTCCGACTTTACCGTGGCCATGCTGGCCGCCGGCGTCGACAGCCACCAGGGCCCGCGGGGCGGCGCCGCCCGCCAGGCCCACACGGCCCTCCGGCTGGCACGCAAGGCTCCTGCAGCCCAGCTCATGGCGGCCCTCTAGGGACGCGGAGGAGAGGTTGGCCGCTGGCCGGACACCGGGAAGGGAAGCCTCGACCGTTGGACGCTGCTGCGGGACAGTTGCAGGTAGCAGGGCAGGCCCCACCCTCACTTCCTACTGCGACTGCGCAGGCCCCGCCCCCAGGCAGAGATCGCAGGGTACGCCCCGCCCATGTCCCCGCCCCGCCCATGCCCCCGCCCCGCCCATGCCCCCGCCCCACCCATGCCCCCGCCCCGCCCATGCCCCCGCCCCGCCCATGCCCCCGCCCCACCCATGCCCCCGCCCCGCCCATGCCCCCGCCCCGCCCATGTCCCCGCCCCGCCCATGCCCCGCCCCGCCCATGCCCCCGCCCCGCCCATGCCCCCGCCCCGCCCATGCCCCCCACCCCGCAGGCCCCTGGGGCCCCCAGTGCTGGAGTTAGGGCTTTAGGGACTCCCATCCTCCCTGACGTTTTCAGTGTGCATCCTAAGTGCTTCTGTGGACTATAGAAAATGGCCTCCTTTCTCTGGGAAGCCCTGTGGCTGCGTCCCCAAACACACCTTGTCACAGAAGGTGTCACGCAGCCCCCAGTCAAACGCTGGCATCTTTGGGACGTTCCTAAAATGGCAAATTCTAACCAAAGCGGGATGAGACTGCTCAGTGCTCCCAGGCCCCAGGTCTCCCCTGCACTCCCCCAGCAGTCCCGTGGGCTAATTTCCCATTTCTGAAGAGATGGGCCCTCCACACCTAATGAAATGCACAGCCTGATCAACGCAATGCACTGCAAAAGCCTCATAAAAACAATGGCACTTTCTCTCCACTTAGGAGCAATTCTGAGCAGGTCGCGATGGCTGGAGGCACTTCCTGTCTACCGGTCCGGAGCGGGGCTCTGGGTTACCCGCAGCACTTTCATACTCCAAGAAAAGATTTCAAGTTTCGGATACTGAATAATTTATTGTCAGGACTTGAAAAGCTATTCTCATTCCTCCTGCCACTGAAATGCAGCCCAGGAAGAGAAAACGAGACGCAAAGCAGATGATGATGGGTGAGGAGAGTGGCCGTTTAGCCAGGTTCCTGCAAGTCTGTTTCAGTGTGATTTGTGAGCTACATTTCCATGTTTTCCAGCCAGAAGGACGGGAAGTTCTATCTGGATGGTACTGAGCTACAAGATGTGTGACATACAAAAGCGTAAGAGCTCCCACACAAATGCATTCTCTCTATACAGGCAATCAGATTTATGGGGGCCATTTGTTAAACTAAACACTGGATTTTAAAAAAATGACCATTTTGCTAAATAGTGGCCAACATATTGGAGGGATCCTTTAAAGGAACCAATAGAATTTAAACAGCTGTCACTTTTATTCCATTCCTCACTTGAAATGTTGTGTTTGCTTATGGTGGTACTGGTTTGAATGCAGGCTTTGGCAAGTGTTCTACCACTTGGGCCAAACCTCCATCCCTTCTTGTGCTTTTTGACCAGGCTGGTCAAAAATGTTGTCCCCACTTTTTCAGTAGCTGGGATTATAGTGTGACAACCACGTTCAGCTTGTTTGTTGAGATGGAGTCTCACTAACTTTTTGCCCAGACTGGTATTGAGCCTTGGGCCTCCCAATCTCTACCTCTATCAAGTAGCTAAAATTACAAGCATGTGCTACTGCACACAGTCCCTTACTTAAAATATTTTAACCTGATAACTATTGTTTCTTCCTACAATGATTCCTTTGACTAGTCAAATCATTTCCCAGGATAACTGCTCTTGAGCATGAATTCAAGGACATAAAGACTCTTAGCTGGAAGGCTGCTTCCTAGAGTTTGAACCTCTTCAGAAAGACAAGCTCTATGATAGCTGCCTCTTCAGTTTTTTTTTCCTTTAGCCACAACTAAATCAATTTTGAGGGAGGGGAAAATAGCACTTCTCTGAGATAAAAATACTCCAAACAAAGCATCTTCTTTTGTTTACAGTAAGGCTTAAGAAGGAAAGCACTAAGGAAGATGAGGTACACCTGACCTCCGGGGGAGATGCAGGTCTACACAGAGATGTGGGAAGCCAAGTATAGTTGGCTCCCTAATGCGTTCTCTCTTTGGTGTCTCATTATTCCTTCTCACTCAAATACAGCTCAAATCCAAATGCAGTGTCATGTTACAGATGATGGCAGGTTACACCTTAATACTGTGGCCAGGCCACTTAAGGGAGGAAGCAGGAAAGCAAGACTGTACCAAGAATGGCTACAAGAAAGTCAGTCTATTCTTTCTACCTGGACTTTCAAGCCAGACAGCCTGTCCTCCTTTTCCAATATCCTATCTCCTTACAAATCTTTGCCAGTCCTCCAAGTGGAACCGATCCTTAAAATCCTCCTCACCACTGCACTCTGCATTATAGGACTCTCCACAAGGTAAGACACACCTGTGTCTCCTAACTTCCCTCACCTCCCTACCCTTTAGACAGAGTCGGCAGAGGAGGAGAGACTCGGCAGAAGCTGGTGGAGGATGAGTAAAACAGTAACGACGGGCCTGCGCAGGACGGCAGTGAGAGGGCAGGGGGTGCTAGAGGAGCGGCACAGCTAGGGTTCTCACAGCAGAGGGAAGCACAGCAGGCAGGTGGTGGCCACTGAGGGGGTTTCTTGTTTTCTTTTTTCCTTCATGGAGGTAATGTGGCTTGAACTCAGGGCCTCATGCTTGCTAGGGTGCCCTTGTAACTTTGACCTCTCAATCTCCACCTCCTGAGTAGTTGGGATTATAGACATGAACCACCATGCTTGGCCTAAGTTACCCTAGCTTTTCTCTGTGATCAGATTAATATGCTGTAGGCCAAAAAAAAAAAAACTTTACTCAATCCCACCCTCCTTATATTTGATTTTAGAGAACAGTCCATTTTCTGATATTCTGATATGCAATACTGATATTTCTACACAATTCTATTGGCATATCTATTAGTTTTGTTTCTGTCTGTCACCAAACTGCTCGTCCACACTCAGGTTTAGTGCCTTTCCCCAGCTCCAGGTCAAGCAGGCAGAGCACAATGGAGCGGAAGTAGGAGTAGAGATGCACTTGAACTTGCTGACTGGTGCACAGTGCTACTTCTAATCCATTTGAAAATGATTCCAGGAAAATTCTCAATCCTGCAGCTGTCTGAAGGCCCAAGAAGGTGACCAGTGAAACCACATCAGCTAGATGCTGATGACTCAGTTCTGAGGTCTAGGAAGCATTGTTGAGAAGAGGCAGTGGGCGAAGCTGAGGAGTGATCAGAGTAAAAACCTGAAGCTGCTTCGGGGCAGAGCTGGCAGAGACCTTCCGAAGCACTAGGATTAGATTAGATTGGATTAGGCCCAGGCATACTGGGAAGGAGTTTAGCCACTTTTCAGACTTCTTTGGCAGAGTCCTCTAGCATAACTACCATTTGCCAGGAAACTCAGATTTTGTTTTAACCAATGAACTGAGCTAGTGAAAAATACGTGACACTTTAAAGTCTAGTTCCCTTCTTTGGTATTTTAAAAGTTAAATACACATAAGCATTTCCTCAAGTTTACTTACAGAAAGCCTAGCAGTCACTCTACAATGCTGACGCAGTTGAGGTGAATACGTAAAAATGATAGAGGAATAAGCATACTCATAAAGGTTGTACCAGAATACTGGTACAACTAAAATTAGCACTAATCAAAGGAAAGAAACTCAGCTATAACTAGCAAAAGGTCTCAGACCTCTTAAACAAGTATTAGCTTACAAACTATACTTAAAAGATAGATACTGGGGTTTTGTTTGTTGTTAAAAAAAAAAAAAAAGGAAGAAGTATGGCTCCTGAGAAGCTCTGAGAGCCAAGGGGGCGGGGCATTGAGCCTCCGGTCACAGTGGCTTCCATACAAGCCTTCACAGCAGCAGAGACATGGGAGAGACACGAATTCTTACGGAGATTATTCCCCAGACTGGCCAAAATATCAGAGTAATTTCAGCCACTAAAGATCAGCCACTGATGGCCAGGATCTCATATGCCTTGTTATCTTCCACATAAACTTTATTCAGCAGTACTTTATTTATTTTTTTTTTCTTTTTTTTTTTTATTGTAAAGCTACTATACAGAGGGTTACAGTTACATGAGTGAGGTAATGAGTACACTTCCTCTTGAACATTGTTACCCCCTCCATTGTTTTCCCCCTACCATCCCCTCCCTCCTTCCCTTCCCCGAGGTTCTTTTTTTTTTTTTTTGATTGTGATTAAATGATTACATAATTTCAAAGTCACAAGTTCATTCTAACTTCCCTGGAGCAAATTGTCTACCACAGTCTGTAATATATAACAGTGTTCACATGTTATATACCATATTTGTGATCAGCAGCATGAGGATATTTAGTAGTGGTTCAACCAGATGAGCGGGAGTTCTTTGTTTCTTAAGTCCTGTTAGTTTTGTCGTATCACCTAACCTTTTGGATTTAGCATCCACTTATCAGGGAGACCATGTACCGTTTGTCTCTTCGTTCTTGGCTTACCTCGCTCAACATGATTCCTTCTAGCTCCATCCATTTCCCTGCAAATGCCATTATTTTGTCATTTCTAATGGCTGCATAATATTCCATTGTGTATAGATACCACAATTTTTGGATCCATTCATCTGTGGTGGGGCACCTAGGTTGTTTCCATATCCTAGCTATTGCGAACAGTGCTGCAATAAACATGGAGGTGCACGTGTCCTTGTATATTGGTTCCTGTTGTTCAGGGTAGATGCCTAGAAGTGGTATGACTGGGTCGTAAGGGAGGTCAATCTTTAGCTTTCTAAGGACCCTCCAGACTGCTTTCCAAAGTGGTTGTATAAGTGTACATTCCCACCAGCAGTGTAATAGGGTTCCTCTTTCTCCACATCCCCTCCAGCATTTGTCGTTGTCAGCAGTACTTTAAAATATACCTTGGTACCACAGTAACATCTGTCTTTAGG